TCTCACCTACCTCTGTGCTTTCTGCTAGATTCCCTCACACGTTTCATACCTGCTGACCAATCCCTGCTGTCTGCACATATAACCCCAGGGCCAGAGGACCAAATGACTACAGCTACCTGCACTATTATTCCAAGGAGGCAACTGACTGTGAGGGACACAGGTGAAGGTTTTAAGTATTTATTAGGCAGCTATACACACAAGGTTGGGAAGCTGTCTTACTACTGAGCCCTCCAGCATTGTTTACTGGTGTGGAGGGCTGCCACGCCCAACACGTTTCAGAAGCTCAACGACACCTTTTATTCCTGTTCTACAGTTCAAGCCTAACACCTGGAGTCTCCTGTGGCTTGTCCCTTGCTGCAGTCTGGAGCCAGGCCTTAGCTGCTGAGCAGAAGTGACAACGATGGATCCTCAGGAAGCTAGTTTTCAGTCCTTGGTTGCAAACTAGAGTCACCTGGGAGTTTAAAACAGTATTTGCCTCTGCCAGTCTCTTTGAGATTTTTATTTGATGGGCTGGAGGCTTGGGCCTGGAGATAACTCTCCTTCAGCCAAGGCTGAGTTACTGCAGCAGACAGAGGCCCATGCTGTCCCGTGTTGTCTCACAGCACTCCCGATGATTGCCCCATAGCCTGTTTTGGCTCCTTGCACCAGCTGATTGGGAGCTTGGAGTTCTGCCCGAGCTTGTTGAGAAGAACGGTATGTACCTCTACAGAGGTCTTCTCAACACCTGCTTTGGGATGGATTTACAGAATCCAGTTTCCATCAGTCTAAATCAATCTACTTTATGTATTTCATTGTGTTGCTGTTGTTTTGTTTTATTTATGTATTTTGAGACAAGGTTTCACTGTGTAGCCCAGCTGTCCTTGAACTCACTATGTGATTAGATCAGGCTGACCTCAAATTCATAGAGAACCGACTGCCTCTGCCTTTCTCTGTCTTCCGAGTGCTGGGATTAAAGGTGTATGCCACCGCACCTGACACTATATATTTCATAAACTCGAATTTCTGATCCCCCCCTCTCTTTCTTTTTCTTTTAATTTTTGAGACAGGTTCTCACTCTGTAGCTGTGGCTATTCAGGAACTCACTATTAGACCACAGGATGCTCCTACGTGGGTTTAATGGTTATGTGCTACCAGGAGCTTTTCTTTTTAAAAGTAACTCTCTTATTCTTCCACCTATCATTAAATTGGGTTAGGAGATGAGAGGGAAGGAAATTCTCCCATAGCAGCAACCTGGAGGTTACAGTGGGAACTGCACACTTGCAAACACTGTCCATCGTCTGTCTTTCTGTGCATCCCACTGCAGCGAAAAGCTTGGGGAAAGAAACACAGCCAGCACTCCCATCATCTACACCAACAACCAGAAATCCCAGAGTAGGCATCCCGGCAGAGAGGTGGGAGCCCTGAGAGCCCTGCTTAAGTACAACTGAGTCTTCTAAGACAGCAACAAGAACGTTAGAAGGGGCAGTGCGGCCACGCTGGCATTAAGTTGAAGAAGCGCGATGACTAAGTACCAGTCGTCACAATCTCGACCACCAGAGTGCTCAGAACACAGTGACTTTTCTTTATGATGGAAAAAGGACAATATGAATAAAATGATACGACAGTAATTTTACTTGGCAAGAAAAGGCACAGAAGAACAGAACCTTTGGCTGATTTGTAAAAATGAGAATTTTGGTAAGAGTAAAAAGCAGATTCTGAGAAAAAAATAAATTCCACAAACCTAAAAAGCAGCCAAAAGTTACGATTTAGTAGCCTTACATCCAGTCCATATACTCCTTAAAAACAAAACCTATCACTGTTAAGAAGATACAAAATTAAAATTAAGACTGTTACTGGAGACAAATTAACCAAGGATTAGGTGTAGGAAATGAAAGGAACTAAGGTTTCCTTTCCATAAATCCAGTTAAAGGAAGCAAACCAAATTCTGTAAATACAGCACAGAAGGTAAGAAAAGAAAGTTCATTATACAGGACGGCCTCGGCCCCCATCCCTTTGTCCTAACTGTCACAAAACTCAAATAGGAAAAAAAAAAATCAGTCCCATTTTACACATGAGAAAACTAGATACTTAAGGCTGTTAAAGGTGTCTGAGACATAAAATAGGCAGTAATTCCAAGACTCAAAGTTCAGTCTGTGACTTCCAAAGCCTGTGTATAGCCTATGTCTGACTACCCCACTGTATCCAACCCATGACTTCCAAAGCCTGTGTGTAGCTTACGTCTGACAGCCCCGCTGTACCCAGAAACTCTTCGTTATTACCAAAACTTGTGATAGTTCAGGAGTGATTCGATGTCTGCAAATGTCAACATACTGTAATTATGTTGAAGAAAGAAGTTCCAGACGAGCAAAGGAGGAACAAACTTGTGGTGCTGAATGGAACTGTGTGGCTGTGCGTACTCACTGTCTTTAAGGATGTGTTATGTATAGGGTGTTTTGCCTGCATGTATGTCTGTGTGCTTGTTGCCTTCAGAGGTCTTGAAATCCCCTAGGACTGGAGTTACAGACAGTTGTGAGCCTGCACGTGTGTGTGCTGGGAATTGAACCTGGGTCCTCTGGAAAAGCAGCCAGTGCTCTTAACTGCTGAGCCTTGCACCCACAGTTTTAATACATCCTCACCTGCTACAGAATCCATTCGGATGCTTGTGCTTTCCTACCGTCTGCTAAGAAGCTCTAGGAACATGAAGTGGCCCCACACAAACACACCTGAACCCCCGACTCAGCTTCTAAATCCTATTTCCAATGAAAGGGAACAGGTGCTCCGTGTGAGAATGGTTGACTCCAGGACTGGGGCAGGGGTTTCTTACAGTGAGCCTAGAACACCTCACAGTACCGTAAAGTGAGGAAGGCAAGACAGCTAACCATCTTCTTCATAGACAGCAAATAAATGCAGCAGTGTGCTGAGAAGAGCTGGCTGGAAGGCCTTCCCAGTGCCAAACCTGGGACAATCTGAACCAGGTGAAAACATCCCTGACAAAAGTAAACAGCCATCAACACAGGGAGAAGGGGCAGACCTTCCTTATAGTAGAATTCCAACTAACAAGTGTGAAATGGAAACAAACTACCATAAAACAAGTACCACAGTCATGAGTGCTGTGTGCAACTCACTAAGGTGTAATGAGAGACAGCGCTAACAAAGGGTAGCGCCACAGAAGAGCTGCAAGGGAGAGGCTACCCTAGCCAGTAACCACCATGTTCCTCTTGATGATGATGAACAAAAAGGGCACAGACATCATCCACAAAGTATTTCCCAAAACCTCAATCTACTGACTGCAAACCTAAACTGGGGGATATCCCACCAAATGGTAAATGTATTCCAAAGTGTCAGGGTCATAGGAAATGAAGGCGGAAGACTAATTTATTGCAAGGGAATAAAGCCATGAGAGCTAAATTTGGGTCCAGATTCTGGATCTGATGCTGGACTAGAAAACAAGTCAGTGTTAATGGGTGTGGGACACCAACTTCCTGGTCTTGACAAATGCCCTGTGGATGCATAAGATCTTAACACCAGGAGAAAAACAGTCTGGCACAGTTTGCAACTGTGCTCTAAGTCTAAATTTTTCCAAACAAAGTTAAAAATAAGATTTCCACTGAATAACTATCCAAATCAAGGCTGTCTCACCTGCTCCAAGGCCACTTCTACAGTGGCATAGTTTGGTAGTGATATAATTGGGAACTGCTGTTCCTTTTTATTTAATTGTCAACCCCCATCCCCCAGTTAAAAGTACATTATGAGCTGGGCGTTGGTGGCACACAGCTTTAATCCTAGCACTCAGCAGGCAGATCTTGAGTTCGAGGCCAGCATGGTCTATACAGAGTGAGTTCTAGGACAGTCAGCGCTACACACACAAAAGAAAAAATCCTTTCTTGAAACACCAAAAAGAAAAAGAAAAAGAAAAAGAAAATAATAAACCTGAACTAATTGTGAGACTTGTATAATGAAATATGGTTCTAAATAGTATGTACATGCTAAACATAAAAACTCGATTATTCCAGTTGTCTTAGGTAAATGTTAATAAACATCCATTTTAGTGACTTGGTTTCTCCTGGATATACATCTTTCTCACAACTCCCTTTTCAGCTCAGGAGCCACACCTTCAAGCACTTACAGTGCAGAAGGCTTTTGTGGACTGCCTAGTGTGTGTCAGACACAACACACACACACACACACACACACAAAAAAAAAAAAAAAAAAAAAAAAAAAAAAAAAAAAAAAGCGATGAAGCGTAATGCTGGTCCTCCGGCAGGTGGGCGAACACTGATGAAATAAGGTGGCAATCGGATGCAGTAGGCTCAGGGAGGGACTCCCTGTCTCCCTGTCTTCAGATGAAGGCATGAAAATAGCTCCAGGTTGACTTGGCAACTAGCAAAACAGTACTTGGTCCCAGGCAACCCAATAGAGAGTGAACACAGCTGTTCAATTCTCCACTGCTCTGCACAGTAGCTCTGCAATCTTGGAGCCATTTACATGACATCACTGGGGGATATTATTCCCTCACGTGGGGATAATAAATTTCACCTCCTCAGGTTACTGTGAGAAAGACAGAAAGAAATGCCCTCCAGAGATCTAGGGACTGAGAATTCTTTGGTAGACAGGACTACTGTGTATTTGAGTTTATAGATGTTGCTAGATGACTGGAACACACATTAAATGAGTATTTAACAAATGAAGTTATTAGATGAGCGTTGAATCTGAAACTGTTCTTGAGATATATATGTATGTGTAAATATATATACATATATATATTCAATGCATTTGTCGTTTTAAATTTTTAAATACTGTGTGTGCATGAACAAGGAGACCAGAAGAGGGCGCTGGAAGTGGGCTATGGGTGGATGCTGAATCACTGGATGCAGGACTGGGAACCAAACACCAGTCCTCCAAGAGAGCAGCAGGCTCTCATAACTGCAGCCCACAACGTGTCTATTTTGGCAACCAGATTTTCTGATGACCTGTACTTTTTGAACACCATGAAAGGACTGGCTCCTGGCAGCAGGACTTACCCTCCACCGTCGCCCCTTCGTTTGGATTGGAGTAGCCCTCTCCTTTCCGTTTGATTCTTCGGATAATGCCAGAGTCTTCAAATAAGTCCTCTCCTTTGAAATCCAGGAGTTCAATCTAGAGCAGAAAAGGCCAGAGCCAGTTTAATAACACAGTTATTTTCTGAGACTCTAAACTCCATCTTTATCATATGGCTTAGACGGAGGAAAGCAGAGGAAGCCAACACTGCACTCTGCAACCCTCGGAAACAGCCCCGTGTAATGACAACGTCTAGGACTACATCCTGTGAGGCTGCAGTGCGGAGACAGACAGGAAACACTAGGACAACTGCCTTGTGGGCAGAGGGCCAGAGCTACAAGGTGCTGGCGCAGAACAGTTTGTCTGACTCCAAATGCTACCAGCCTTCACCCCAGATTTATGAAGTTTCCATCTTAAAATTGAAAACTTCAGATCTGGCCTTCAGCTGACTAAAGATGTTCGTTCACCTTGTTAGATAAAAATCAATTTTACCAATGAAGTGTAATTAATTCAACACAGACTAAACAATGTATTGCCACTTACTGCTCCTGGAGAAGATTAGAGGGCAGTCGTAAACCTCCACAGCTTACCATTTTAATGCTGGTCACTACCATTTCCGGCCTGTCAGTTTTGAGTATGTTTTACTTCCCCTACTGACCAGAGCTTGTATTTCTAAATCTTTGTCTTTTGTTTGTTTGGATATGCCCATTTTGTGCCAAAGACACATTTCTAAGAAAGCACAGGCACATCCCCTGGGTGTGTGGGAAACAATTCAAGAAGCCAGACTCCAAAATAAATAAGCTGGAGCGGGTTCTCGACAGCAAACTCAGCTGTTCACCCACTGAGCAGCACGGCACATGCGGCAAAGCGACAACACACATACTTGCCTCAAAAAAGAGAGTTGCATTGGAGGGAATTTTCGGGAGGCTGCCAGCAGAGCCATAAGCATACTCTGGTTTACACAGTAAGTGGCAGACCTCTCCTTTCTTCATGGTAGACACCCCAATGTCCCAGGCTTTGATAACCTGGCCTAAGAGAAAGCAAGAAAACATGTTGTTTCAAACAGAAATCAAATCTGTCAAAACATCAGAATTATAAAATCTGGATGTTTCCTGTTCAGCTGTAGGGCTGCACCAGGCTACCTGTGCACGGTTAGTATTTGAGCCAGTCTCACAATGTAGCAGAAGCTAGCCTAGAACTCCAATTTCTCCTGCTGGATTGCCTCTGCCTCTAGAGCGCTGGATGACAGGCATGAGCACCATGGATAATAAATCACAGCTCTTATCATGAGCAGCATTAACTGTGCCTCACTGTGGAGCTGGAGAGATGGTTCAGTGGTTAATAGCACTCATAGATCATAGACAAACCTGCAGGCAGAACATCAATGCACACGACAAAGAAATAAACAAATGTCTCCCTGTAAGCAGTCTCCAACCTTTCCCAAGAAACAACAGAGAATTTAAGCAACAACAAAACACACTGGGGGTGATCATATCAATCAAAACCTTAAACATGTGGGCTACAGCCATGTTTTGCTGGCAAACCACTTGCTGACAAGTTTGCCGACCTGACTGTGATTCCTGAGACTCAGGTGATAGGAGGAAGGAACTGATTCCTGTCAGACTGTTCTCTGACCCCCACACACAAACAAAAATATTTGTAACTTAAAAATTAATAAAAATGCTTAAGCCTTTAAAGTAGGAGCAAACAAGTGGGGTGACAGAAAGCTGGACCCGGTCGGTTAGGATCAAGAGGCTAGTAGAAAGTATGAAAGTAGAGAACGTTGCTAAACTTTACAACTTTTCAGAACATCAGTTCTACTTAGTTATAATTTAATATAACACATGATTATTATTAATATACGGCATGTCAGGTGGTAATGGCATACACCTTTAATTACAGTGCCTGGGAGGTAGAGGCAGGCAGATCTCTGAGTTCGAGGCCAGCCTGGTCTCCAGAGTGAGTGCCAGGATAGGCTCCAAAGCTACACAGAGAAACCCTGTCTCAAAAAACTGAAGATATGACAGAAATATACAGAAAATGAAAGCTAGAGGCCTGCCATTCCTTCTGAGTAAAAAAAGCTCTTGTGTCATTTCAGTATGCAGTGTCACTTAAATAAGTTAAAAACATAAATGAAGCCAGGCTTGGTGGTGTCTCACACCATTAATCCCAATTGGGAGGCAGAGGCAGGCAGATCTCTGAGTTCGAGGCCAGTCTGGTTTACAGAGTGAGTCCCAGGACAGCCAAGACTACACAGAGAAACCCTGTCTTAATAAACCAAAACCCCCACAAATGACAGCATATATAATTCAATCCTGAGCTCCTTTCCATTTAACAAGCTCATCTTCTCTCTTCATTACTAGGAGGAGGACATGCATTTTAGGTGTTAAGAGTACTAGATCCATGCCGGGCGTTGGTGGCGCACGCCTTTAATCCCAGCACTCGGGAGGCAGAGGCAGGCGGATCTCTGTGAGTTCGAGGCCAGCCTGGTCTATAGAGCGAGTGCCAGGATAGGCTCCAAAGCTACACAGAGAAACCCTGTCTCAAAAAATAAAACAAACAAACAAACAAAAAAGAGTACTAGATCCTGACCTCGTCTGCACTTTACTAGCTTTGAAAACTTACGTAAATTTAATCTGTTCTCTGACCTGAAAAACTTAAACAACAGCACTCAGATCGTAGCTTTTTATAGTATTCCAAACACATGGCACGGTGCCTGGCATACAGTACAGTCTAATAAAGGAAAGCTGCGGCCTCACGATAACCACCACAAACTCCTCTCTTTTGGCTTTTTGAGACAGGGTCTTATTACACAGTTTAGGATGGCCACCAACTTGTAATCCTTCTGCCTCAGCCTCCCAGTGCTGGATCACAGAAATGAACACTATCTGTCTCACTCTTTGTGTGTGTGTGTGTGTGTGTGTGTGTGTGTGTGTGTGTGTGTGTATGTGTTTGGAGAACTAGCTCTGTAGACCAGGCTGGCCTCCAACTCACAGAGATCCTCCTGCCTCTGCCTCCCTAGTGTGGGGACTAAAGGCATAAGCCACCATCGCCGCCAGGAAGCAATTTTTTTAATTTGAATTAGAAACGAGATTGTTTCACATGTTAACCCCAGTTCCCTTCTCCCTCCCGTCCTTCCCTACCCACCCCCAACTAAAACCCTACCTATCACATATTCTTTCTGCTCCCCCTGGATGGTGAGGCCTTCCATGGGGTGTCATCAGAGTCTCTCATATCCTTTGGGATAGGGCCTAGGCCCACCCCAGTTTGTCTTGGCTCAGGGAATGTTCCTCTATGTGGAATGGGCTCCCAAAGTCCACACCTATGCTAGGGATAAGTACTGAACTACTACAGCAGATTTCTGAGGTTTCCTCACTGACACCCACGTTCCTGGGGTCTGGATCAGTCCCATGCTAGTTTCCCAGCTATCAGTCTGGGGAGCAAGAGCTCCCCGATGTTCAGGTCAGCTGTTTCTGTGGGTTTCGCCAGCCTGGTCTGGACCCCTTGGCTCATCACTCGTCCTTCTCTGCATCTGGATTTCAGTTCAGTTCAGTGAATAGTTGTGGGTGTCTGCTTCTACTTCCACCAGCTGCTGGATGAGGGCTATGGGGCGGCATTTCAGCCAGTCATCAATCTCATTATCAGGGGAGGGCATTTAAGGTAGTCTCTCCTCTGTTGCTTAGATTGTTAGCTGGTATCATCTTTGTAGATCTCCAGACATTTCCCTAGTGCCTGATTTCTCTGTAAACCTAAAATGTCTCCCTCTATTATGGTATCTCCATTCTTGTTATCTTCTATTCTTCCCGACTCAGCCTTTCTGCTCCCCATGTCCTCCCATCCCCCCTCTTCTCCCCTTCTCATTCTCCTAGCTTCCTCCCCCCCTTAGGAAGCAAATTTTTAAAACTACTGTCTTGAATTGACAGAGAGCTGTCAATCTAAAACTCCTGTATATTGGTGGGTATACTACTATGTATCTCCTCAAGACATCTGGTCGATTCATAAAGAGCAAGGGGCCTGCTAGGGACTAACAGTTATAAAAGTCCACTCTTCCCTTCTCCTTTTAAGAATCTGAAATGCAGAAAGTGTTGCTATAGGAAGACAGTTGCATTGTTAGGGCTGTCATTATTAGAGACAGGTTCTCATGTGCCCAAGGCTCACCTCCAACCTTCGTTTCTAAGGGTAGCCCTGAACTCCTCATCCTGCTGCCCCACCTCTCCAGTGCGGGAATTACCGCTGTGCACCACCACACCACTTCCCAACCTGATTTCTGAAAAGCAATACCAAGAGAACACTGAACCACAGAGAAAACAATTTTAGAACCTCTGAAATCTTTGCAACCAAAGGAATTGTCAATTTCCTTTAAATTATATATATATAATTTTTGATTGTTTCTATATTAACTTCTTACATGCCTATTCTTAAAACTGGGATGGTTCTGTTTTTGTTTGTTTGTTTGTTTTGGCTCTGTAGCCTTAACATAGTTCACATTATTGAAGACATGACCTTTATTCCAATTTTTGTAATGTTTCTGTTGCCGCTATCTTTTACTAGCATCAAATTCCAGTGAACAATCTTGACTCTAACTCTGCATGGCTTTCTTTGTACAGTGAAAGCCTATAATTGATATGTATGATCCAGATCGGTTGGTATGTTAATAAACTGTTAAGTGAAGTATCATGCAAACAACATACACACACCTCATTTATAAAACATGGACAGCCTATTAATTCATAGTGTGTTAGTGGTTGAGGCTTTGTCTGTGAAGACGACCATTTTAGGTGACAGTAAAGTTTCCTGAATGTGGGACAAGATCTGAACAATACAGGCCATCAGTGTACAGGCTCTTGTGGTGAAGTGTTCTGAAGGCTGCCTACTTTAACTGTTTTATCCACCTCTAATTCAAGGATACTTTTAGCATTTCTCGTAACAAATTTTTCTAGAGTATCTCACAAGTTTTTCTTCCCTTTTACACATTAATTTTATATATCTACTGAAATAATAAACTTGGAAAAAGTACACATAGGTAGTTAGGTTTAAGATAATTGTTAATAAGAGAAATTAAAAATGTAGTCCTTGGCACCTGCCAGTGCTAAGACGCATGCCGTTAGGCGTCCGTGTTGTCAGAGGGTGGCCTGGGGCTCATAGCAAGGCCACGTTGTCCTCCCACTGGACATAAACAAGCTTGTGAAACACCAACATCAGACGAGGTCACTGTATAACCACCATAAACCCAGACAAAACAAACACTTAAAAAATTTCATGTAAGCTTGGATAAAAAATAAGGTCACTTTGCTCTCTACAAAATACCAAACAGCCCCCTCTCCTGGCTGATACAGGCGACTGTTGCATCTTACCGTGGGTTGCTCTGGTCTTACTCTGCTCCAAGCAGAAATCTTCATTCTCAAACACAGAACACCCGACATCCTAACTCCAACCCAGAGCAAAGCCGGGCTTGTTCAGAACCCCCCAAATTACACAGCAGCCCAAACCCTACCAACATCTGTTCTGACACCTCCTCATACACTCCATGTACTCTATGTAATTCTCTCTGGCAAGGATTGAACCCAGACTGTTCAACTGCAGTGTGCTCCTGGTAGTCTGTGGCTGGAGAGGACCCATGTCCAGGTCACTCAGGGGCACAGTGTGTAGATCATTGCTATGCTCAGTGGGATACAGTTCTATCACTAAGCCTATCTCAAACATCTAGAGCAAAAGCTAGTCTAGAGCTAGTTAAACATTGCTGACCACATTCCTTTGGGTATAGTTCATAGAACCACTGGGCCTTCAAAGACTCTTCGTCTGTAGGGTCTTTATCTTGCAGATAGAATATGTCAAAAATATATCCTAGAAAATTTATTCTTATATTTAGTCTGGATCTCAATTTTACTACCTCAAACACAATGTATTAATTTTAGGAGTCCTATTCTTTTTGCAACAAATTATCAAATAATATATATTTATACCTCTTATACCTACATAGACATAGGCAAATTGAGTTTAAAGGCAGGGCTGGGAACTAGCTCAGTGAGT